CATACTAACTAATTCAGCCAATGATGGGATCAATGCAAGCTTTGTCAATAGTGATAAGGAAGGTTTCAGCCAATAACTTTATAGGTTCTACAGTTCTCAACCTTTTGCAGAGTCAGGTTAGAAGAAACAAGTATCAAAAATTTTGAAGAGTTTTAGCCTGCTTTACCCGTGGAATGTTAAATTCAGCAGGTCACATCACTTAGTTCCTTGACATTTATCTTTTTCATGATTCTTTATTTCCAGGCCAAGGCCATGGCTGGTGATCATGTTGTGAGATCTTTGCTGGAAAAGATGATACAATGTGCAAATGCTGCATACCTTAGAATATTGGAAAGGTATTCAACAGCAGTTGGTATGAGTTTGGACAGACTCATTTCATTCTTTTATTATACTTTGATTAACGTGCTCACAGTTCAAAATCAAGATTAGGCCTTTTTCCTAAGAATAGCAAATCTCATTTCTGTTGTGGAAATGTTGTTAATATCGCCTTAGCTACCTCCATGACTCTTCTTTCACATTATAAGATCTCCGCCTTCCTCCTTTGCGACTTTCTTGATTTTGACCTCTCTATCATCCCCAAGGTGAATTTAATACACAACAAACGATCTATTTGTTACCGTACAGCCTGCATTTACTAGCTGTTAGCCAGATATTCTGTTCAACTTACAGCTGCAACATGGCATACAAGAAAAGCCACACCTGCTTTATGAGTAAACACAACAAAATGGATTAATATTCTCTACATAGTTGCAACATATACCTAGATACTTCCACAAGAAATTTCAGAATATGCTTTATAAAGTTTTATGGAAATGTTAGCCTACTAATTACACATTGTTGAAAATGCAAAGTTGAAAGTTCTATCTTTTATATGCTCCTTCATTGTCTCGAATACATAAAATCCAATGGTGGAACTGAGTCAACTTACTGAAATTTCAGATGGGTATATGAAGGAGTGATTGATGATCCCTATGGTGAATTTTTCATTTCTGAGAATAAGTCTCTTCAAAAGGTACGGCTTACTTTGGAAAGTGATTAGAATTCTTTCTTTATGCTGATATTGCTACTCTTGTAGGAGAGTCTTGCTCAAGATTATGACGCTAAGTATTGGCAACAACGCTACAGCCTCAAAGATGATGTTCCTAGCTTCCTTGCAACTGCTGCTGAAACAATCTTGACCACTGGGAAATATTTGAACGTTATGAGAGAATGTGGGCACAATATTCAGGTTTATGGAGTTGTTCCATTATGTCGACACTTTCCAGATTAACATCATGGACCTACATGAGTGAAAAATGAATATGTCCTTATTTTCCCCCTTTTTCAGTTTAATTGGTTTTTGGCACATGTCATGAATATTTTACATCCTAATCTTTTCTGAATCACATGGTTCAAGCTCTTGATTAGAGATTGTTTTCCATAGGTCCCTGTAGCTGAAAATTCAAAATTGACAAGTGTGGGATCAAATCATCATCATCTTGAGTGTATTAAGGCTGCTTATGATTATGCTAGTGGTGAGCTATTAAATCTCATTAAAGAAAAGGTATGATTTTAGATAAGCCTTTGATCTTTCAAGTAATTTTGCTTGTGTGATTTAAGAACCTAGGCTTTCAACGACTGCAATTACTTTCTACTGTGGTGCACTTATGTATTTTTTCTTTTCTTTTGCAGTACGATCTGATGGCAAAGCTGCGGTCAATCAAGCACTATCTTCTTCTTGACCAGGTATGACCTCATTCACAAGTGGAGGGAGGGCTTCCTCATGTTATGTTTAGGAATTTGTCTTGGGATATAAATTAAGATGCACGTATCTCAAACTTATATTGGAGTATAAATAAGTAGGTGATCATAGTTGAGAATCTACAATTCACAGAATTACTTCTAGCTTTCTTTACATCTTAAGGTTCTTGTCATACTTTTTTTTTCATTGCATTGACCTACTATTCGTGTAATAATTGTCTTCTCCAAATTTTGTTGATATTCTTGTCTCCATGGAGGATCAACAAGGCTTATGTTAAATAATTGAATTTTCTTGTGTCTTGCCTTTGTAGGGTGATTTCTTGGTTCACTTTATGGATATAGCTCGAGAAGAGCTAAGCAAAAAGCCAGATGACATCTCTGCTGAGAAGCTGCAGGTTCTTGTCTATTTATTATTATTATGTAAAGCAAGAATGATGCCAAAGAATATATTTTTTCTGATGTTAATCAAAACTTGAAACTGAAAAGTTTGTTTATGTGTGTATCCTTTTCCCATGCAAATTAGTCACTATTGGATCTTGCCCTGAGGACTACAGCTGCTGCAGCAGATCCTTGTCACGAAGACTTAGCATGTTGTGTGGTCAGTAAATATTTGTCTTTTATCTGGGAAACATGAGCCAGCAAAACATTTCGCGAAATACTTCATACCGAATTTTCTGCTTTAAAGGTGTCACCATATTTCTTGCAGGAAAAAACTACATTGTTGAAAAGGTTGAACACCCTCAAAGATCTTGAGATTAGCCAGACTGTCTCTGATAGTAACGAGTTGGAAGAACAATTGAGCATCACTGGGTTGGAGACATTTTCTTTGAGTTATAAGGTATCTGTTCGGTGCATTTCCTCTCCTGATCTTCAGTTTCTCTTCTTGGCAGAACCAGCTTTCTGAACTTGCTTTCTAGAGCTAAATATTCACTAGCTTTCTGATGTCCAATCATGGCTAAAAACCCAAGGAAGTTCTTTTTTGTTGATTGTGAGTAAAATCAATAGGTTGTTACTAACCACCTAAAGGTTATTATTAGTATGCTATATATTTAGTGCCGAGATGATGTCCTTATCTCCTATTTCTGCTTTTAAACATGTATGTGGGCATATTTGAAGTCATGTATTTGATTTAGTTAACTTTGTTATGTCATCAATCCTCTGTCAGGTTCAATGGCCATTATCTCTTGTTATCTCGAGAAAAGCTTTGACAAGATATCAGCTTATTTTCCGCTTTCTATTTCATTGCAAGCATGTTAACAGGCAACTTTGTGCAGCATGGCAAATGCATCAAGTATGTGGCTTCTGTTTCTTTCGCTATGTGTTCCTTGGCTATGTGTTCCTTATTCCCCCCTTCTTCTAACCTTGTCTTTTTTTTTTCTTAATGTTGTAGGGTGTTCGCAGACTTGACATGCAGGGGATTGCAATCTCTGTGTCATCTTTGTTGTGTCGCAGCATGCTTAGATTCATTAATAGCGTTGTACACTACTTGACCTTCGAGGTAGTTCTCATCCTATGATTTCCCTGTATGTTCTCGAGATTTTTGGATAAAAATTAACTGTCACCTTCTTTGCATCCTATCATCCTTTATGACTTGAATTAAGTTTTTAAAGCAAAAATAAAAATATCTGCATATTTTTGCTTCAATATGGCCATTATTTTTGAAGATTGTCGGACAGGCTGATCCTGTCATCATTTCATTCAATATCTTGATTTTCAGGTTTTGGAGCCAAATTGGCATGTGATGCACAATAGGCTTCAAACTGCTAAGAGCATTGATGAGGTAGGAAGAATGCAATCTGCCATAGAACCTCAGTTGTCATGTTTTTTTTTATCTCAATCATTTTCATCCCTTCTAATTTCCTCTTCTGATATTGATCATTTTCTGCAGGTTATTGAATATCATGAATTTTTCCTTGAGAAATGTTTGAGGGAATGTTTACTTCTTTCACCAGTTCTTCTCAAGGTTTGTAAGATTTATTAGGTTTTTGCTTGCAGTTTGCTATCTTTCCCTGCCTATTTGTTTGTTTGATGTTGTTTGGAGGCTTAAAGGGGATAGGAGGGTTAAGCGTTGAGGGGAAGGGTAAAAGTCTATTGAAGATATCATATTCTTTGCTCGGAAGGTAGCCTTTCTCAGGAGTTTGTTTTAAACCTTTTCATTCTCTTTTGATACCTTCTTAACTTCACGTCTTCTTAGTCAACAATTGCATCATACAAGCTCTTACTAATGGTTTTTCCTCAACTTGAATTTCCTGGTTTTGATCTGATTAATGAAGTTACCTTAACCTAGCAGAAGGTGGAGAGGCTGAAGCTATTATGCCTTCACTATGCAGCAGCAATACAGCGATTAATTACCTCTTCTGTTGACATCCCCACTGGAATTGTATCTAATGGCTCTCTTGAGACTGAAAAGTACAAGAGATTGAAACTAAGGAGCCGATCTCAGACGCTGAAATTAGCACCTGAAAATGCATCAGTCATTGAATCAATCCTGTATGTCAAGACAATTTTGTGCTACACTTTTCTTGCTTCATCTCTTTTCTGTTCAATTCTCTCATCCATGTAAAAATTTCAATGTCTAGGAAATTTGAGAGGGATTTTAGTGCTGAGCTCCAGAGTTTAGGTCCAATTCTGAGCAACAGTTCTCGAGCAGAACCGTATTTGACTCATCTTGCACAATGGATTCTAGGTGTAGGGAAGGACCAGTGAGCAGTTGACATGTTTGATCAATCAGCTGGATGCCTTCCTGTGGTTTCAGTATTCAATCAAGCTGCCAACCTGCAAGCACATTTTTCTTTGTTTATTTATTTATTTCTTTTTGATGTTGGTGTTCTCTTTTGAGTGTTGGGAGGAGGAAGCACGCATTTAGCTGCCTATTATTTGTATCCAGGTGCCATAGATCACTTAGGGAAGGGGAAAAAGGAGGAAATTGGGGTATACACGACAGCTTCAAACTAATACTTTTGTAATTAAATCTTTGTATGTTAAGTTCTGCAAATTTGTTAAGGCGCCTGGCTAGGTTGGATTGAGAAGAGTTGAATATCAAGCGTTTTGCAACTACGCATCACTTTCATTTGAGTGAAAAACTACTGCACCGAGGAATCAATCAAAGGTGAAATTTATAGAACTCAGCAGAGTTGCATTCCGCAATTGCAAGTTTCTTTTTAATTTCTGAACAGGAACTTGTTTGCTTGGTAAATAACTTCTAGCTCGTCGTAGTCCTCTACACAAATTTGAAACTAGATCATATCAAGAAGGCGCGATGAACAAAATCCCAGAAAACATAAACGCGTAGACCATAAAAAACGATTCTTTGCTTGTACACAATATCACTTCATCTCTAGAGGCCTGGAACAAAACAGCTCGGACTTGGCATGCCTGGGGCTACAACATGTTACAAATTTGGCAACGATAACTAGCTTTCTGCATCTGCTCACTAGCCAGCTTCCTCTTTCCTGTTGTTGCTGCCTAATCATGTATTCCTGCCTCACTTGAAGTTCTGGAGGAGGCAGCATTGAAGGAGGTGTTACTTTTGCTCTCCTGGTAAATGTATAGATTGATAAGCATTTTTGACAGCGGTGAGGCTGCTGCTCCTGTTGGACATTTGGTGGCATCGCTGAACTCTAATCCTCTCCACGGTGGTGGTGATGGTGGTTCTGTACGTGAGGGCTTGGCAAGGTGCTACATGCGGGGTAAATGATATGCGACCCAACTTTTGTTGAGCGTCACCCGATTAAGCAGTGAAGTTGGATCCCTGGTTTTATGGTCAGGTACAGCTTCAAATCAGGCGTGTAACCTGTATCCAGTAACTTTTCCTCACTGAGATCCAAGAGGTCTTCTATAAAGACTGCTGCAACTGTGAACTTTTCATTCTGTTTTCTTATCCTGCAGATTAGCACGTTCATGCCTGAGAGCTTCTATTCATATTCAAGTCGGCAAATCATCTGGCAAATCCACCAAGATATGTATACATCATTATGAAAATGCTCCCAACCACTTCTTGGTTAGAAGAGTCACAGATCTAATTTAAATAAATTTGACATCTTTTCTTTCTTGGGAAAATAATAAGCAAAAAGAAGAAATGAATTGAAGATAATTCTTGGTTATAGAAGCTGAAGGGCCAAATGCTGCCATCTACTTTTCTATCTTTTCTTTTTTTGTCTTCCACTTTTGTCTTCTTCTTTTGGGCAACAAGATATCTGATTAGAACGCCATCTGAATTAGACGATGGCAGTGTGTCAAAGTCAATCCTGATATAGACTTCTAGAAACTTTTCCTGATCCATCGTCCAAGCACTAGCCAAACAGTTGGGATATACCCGATACCTCAAGCTTTTATAGGCCTTGTGATCTATTCCTCTTCTCTCTTGAATTTCATTTACCTATGCACTGTCCGAATGAAACTGCTGCTTATTAAATGCCACAAATTACTTCTGCCTAGTAAACATTAACATTCTCTTGTGAAAAGTAATCAACAAAACTCTTCAACTTCAATCCAAAATCCAGCATAGACTCAAATCAAGGAAGGTTTTATGCCTCCTTAAGCCGTTCCAGTGAATTATTAACCCTTCCTCCTTTTTGTTTGTTTGTTTGTTTCTGGATATAGTCTTGAATTCTTTAGACTTTGGGAGCATTCTTAACCTTGCAAGCCAGGGTTTTGTTAATTCAATTGAATTGCAAATTCTGCCTCACACTTAATATAAAGAAAACAAGGTAAATTTATTGTAACTTAACACAGTTTTGCAGGACATTCTCTGTTCTCTATGAACTGGATGCAAATACAATGAGATTTATTACATTAAGCTACATATGGTACTCTTATTATCCATTTTCTTCTCAGTTCTCCCAATGAAGGAGATCAGTGATATAATTTTGATAAGCATCTTTTTTAATTCCAAAACTTTTCCTTCAATTTTCCTCTTCAGTTGTGAAAAAAAGGGACTATTTGTGCATTTGGTCAAATGAGGAACTTACAGGTACACAGCTGGATATGGTTAAGTAATTCAATTCATGCAGAGTTAAAATTTTAAATTCACTGCATCAACCCTTACTATTAACAACGATTTGTCATGGGGATGCAGTCCTGTTTTTCAGTGTAGTGGGACTAATTCTTAGACGCAAAGTGATTAGAACATACCTTTAGCAAGGACAACCACAAGCTTGCTCTTTAAGAACAATCATCTGCAGAGCGGTTCATTGATGCCTTATGGTATCTCAATTTTTCTATTTCCATCTCCAGAAAATCCAACGTTGTGTCAGTCACATGGTTTGGGGCACATCCTGCATCCAGCATCATCTTTAAGAACTTGTAGGCATCTTTCAGTCTCCCAGCCTTAGAATGAACTTCAATGAGTGTATTGTATGTGATAACATCAGGGCTTATCCTGCTAGTCTGCATCTGATGAAACAGCCTGATTGCCTCCTCTATACGACCTGCCTTCCCAAGTGCATTAATCAATGTGTTATACATAACTATGTCTAGATAGCCACCTTGCTTCATCAATTTATCAAGGACAGCACTGGCAAGATCTGCCCTTCCCATCTTTCCCAAGCATTGAATTATAACGTTATAGGTTGCTATATCTGCAGGGCAAAGCATCTCACCCATGCCTTGGAGAACACCCCAAGCCTCATTGAAGTAACCCTTCTTAACAAATGAACTCATTATGGAATTGTAAGTGTAACTAACTGGATCAATACCCATGTTGGTGAAAATCTCAAATAGTTTACAAGCCAAGCTCAACTTCCCCTTGGACAAAAAAATGGATAAGTACGTATTGACCATGTCGATATCAAAAGAATCAGTTTCCTTGGCCTCAACCCTTTTTCCTCTAGACAAAGAGAATAAACTGGCAGGGCTGACTTCATTGGCAAGGAGATCCATATGTGGGGAAGATGACCACTCATCAAAATCATCAACTTTTGGCTCAACATTTCCTGCGGCAAGACTAGAATCAATTTGTCTGTCAGCTGAGCTTAATAGACTCAAAATATCAGTAAAGTTTCCTCTCGAAGGAAACATAGGCGCAAAATCCTTTTTCTTGCTTTGTGGAACTTTTAGTGATGCCTCCATAGTTGCTTTCCACTTGAGAACATTTGAAACAAAATTCCCATCTCTAATGTACTTCATCAGTCTTTCTGTCGAATCCCACATACCGTTCCTATAAAGTGCAATCAGAAGGGAAGTTATGGTAACCAAATCAACAACAAACCCTCTAGCTTCCATCTCCTCCACCAACTGCAGAGCTTCCTCAACTTGATCCTCCTTACAAAGATGCAAAACAACAATGCTATAAGTTACTCCATCCACAAAGTTATTGCTCTTCTTCTTCAGATCAAGAAACAAGCTATATGCAGCTGCAGCCCTTCCATTCCTGAACAAGCCATCAATGAGTATATTGTAGGTCCAACAAGAAGCCCTGACACCATCTTCATCAACCATTTTCTCAAACAAATTGCAAGCTTCCACTAACTTCCTCGCTTTCAATAACCCATCCAAGAGGGAGTTATAAACAACAGTGTCAGGACGAAACCCCCTATACTGCATCTCAGCAAATATTTTCGATGCATCACCTATCCGGTAGGCTTTAGAACAGCCCTGAATGAGGATACGGTAAGTGAATAAATCAGGCTCATGACCAGAGGAGCTCTTGAGTTCTTCCCAGACAACAAGGGCATCATTTACCTTGCCAACCAAGCACAGCACTTGGATAAGGCTGTTGTATGTGCATAGATCAGGGCTAAAGGAACCACTCTTATCCTTCATCTCTTTGAAGAGACTTAAAGAAGTAGCCAGATCATCCCAACACCCAAATGCATGAATGCATATATTATAACCCCATCTATCCAACGGAAAGGATCCAATTTCTCTCAGTTTATGAAATACTTGCTTGAATTGATCCCTCATATCAGCCTTCCTAAGACCAACAAGCAGCTCATTACAAGAAACAGCATCAAGAATGCCACTATTTCCATTTGTACTGGAATTCTCCAAGAGTTTGAGGAAGATTGAAAGAGCTATACCAAGCTGGCCTTTACGGACAAGGGCAATGAGGATAGAGCTATACAAATCAGGGTTTAACGAGATTGTCATGCATAAATCTTTCTCCACGTGGTCCAAAATTTCCAGTGCAGAGTCGAATCTTCCAGATCGGATAAAAGCATCGAGGATCAGCTTGAAGGTTGTTGAATCAAGGACCAAGCCATCACGCTTCAAGGAAGTGAGAAGATTAAAAATCTCATCATGGTATTGAGGGCAGTGACAGATTGTATGAAACATCTGAGAGTAAGTACCCACAGAGTGCTTGTAGTTGGGCCTAAGAGAGCACCAGTGAAAGAAATCCAACTTTTTAGATGCTGCCAGAGAGTTTCTGCGGAGAACTTGGAGAACAAGATCCTCAGACAAGTTAACAGAGGCCATGTTCTTATCCAGGTTTCTAGTTCCTCCAGGCTCTGAAAGAGCTTTTGCAATTGAAGCAACAACAATGAGACTCCCAACTTTGGATGCTAATGGTTTTGCTCTCAATCCAGTTGTCAACGTTGTGATAAATCTGTTTTTTGAGCCAAAGATCACAACAAAAGCCAAAGAAGAGTGAAACATCACCCCTGCACCACTTTGCCCATGATGCATTTTCTTGTTTGTATTTTTGTTAAATCACCAATAGCCACATAGATGTCTCTATGACAACTAAAACATTTACATTAATAAAACCCAAAGCATATGTACAGAACCCAAAAGCTCATTTCAGCCAATAAAGTCCATCATGATTGCACCCAACTCCATTAGCTGGAAGATAACTGTTCCCAGGAAGCTCTTATATTAGGTCCTTGATTGTTTCTGAAACTATTACTTCCTTTATTGCTCTTTATCTTTTCACCATTTGAAATTGACAACAGAAAGATTTCGGTCAAACTCCCACATTTGCTTATCTTCCCTTCCAAAGTCCTTATCCCAAATGCTTTTGGAATGCATCAATTTCATGTCGTGTAATATTTTTCTAAAAAGTAAGATTTCAAGAAACTAAATCACACCCTATAATAGCTATGTCAGAATAGGACCCCACAAACTTGTCTACAGGACCAGAACAAAATTCTTCCAAAATTTTACTTTCATGCAAAATGTCTTCCAAAACTCCAACCTGCTCCCCTACACTACATAAACCCAATTTGTCATCTGAATTTTCTCCCATATTTCACTTACTCCTCTCCGGATACCCACTGCATAGGCAAGGCTCCACTCTATACTCCTTCACATCCCAAGTAAAATCCTGGATTGCAAAATAATCAAAATTAACAAGAAATCCATATGGACGGGACTTGCGTTCAAGAACTCAATAGATAATAGAAACCAGAACCAGATAAAACAGATAAAGAAATGTGACCCGGTGGTTGGATGCTCGCTCCATAGTGCAGAAGGTGAAGAGTTCAACCTTTAGTAACCTCCTCCCGGTAAAGATCGCTAAAAAACGAACAAGATGATTTCTACAAACAGGTGGTGTTCAAAACATGAAACTGGCATAGACTAGCAAAACCCGTCATGGGAAATTCTTTTCCAATCAGAAGCATTCTTCTTCTATTCATTTCACCATTTTTCAAGAAACTCTTACAGCTTAAACTCTGTAAATTAGTTCACAATCCAAATTAGCTGACTAAATCAAGTGATCAAGTGCCTTCTATTTTCAGGGGGTGGGCGCAAAAGTATCGAGAAAATCACCTTAAGAATGATACTTTCTTGGCCTGAAATTGCCTGTGGTTGCTGTGAATACTGTAAAATAGAAAACGGCGCTACGAGAAATGAGAGTTCAATACTGAAATTTCTGTTTTTTTTTTGGAAAAAAACATTATGGTGTCATATATGAGAACATGGGATTCTCCGGGGACTAGGAACAAACGTCCAGGATGTTTTCCACTGCTTTTTTTTTTTTTTTTTGGATGTTTTCCTCTGCCTAAACTCGTTTTCCTCCACCGTTGGTTACTTGGTTGTCATGCAAACGGCCTTTAGGAATTAGGCCTCCTTGTACCCAAAAGGGCAAAAAAAAAAAAAAAAAAAGTAATGGAAAAAGAGCAAATCGAGTTATCATTCTTTCTTTTTCGATTTACATGCAGTATTTCTTTTAAAACAATATTAAAATGGGATTGATTTACTATTAATTGAGAACAATTTGACATATGGGAATTCATGTAAACTACATGAGGATGATGTTAACTCCATGTTATGGAAATAATTACCTTGTTATGAATTAGAGTTCACCAACAAAAAAGTGATGAAAATCGTCACGTGTCTAAAATTTTATTTTATCATCAATCCAAGTCACGTTCACTCTTTTTTTTTTCTTTTTTATCAATGAATAGATCTTTTTACCTATATGATTTAGGCGTCTCATATTTCTTAAAAAAGGTGATTTTATTGGTGATGAAGAAAGAAAATTCTTGATTGAGTTTTCCACCTAAACAATAGAAAAGAAAATTGATTAAATTCGATTGAGTATGACTCATATTGATCATTTATCAAAGAATGACTTTGGTTATCAAATAATTGAACAATCTGGAACAATTTACTTACGATACTTAGTTGACATTCATAAAAGGTATCTAGATATAAATATGAAAATCCCTAGTATCAAAAAGGTAGATCGTCATTTAGTTACATAGAAATAGGTGAACCATCATTTGATTGTATAAATCGCATAGTAGAAGTTTCCTATGAATTATAAGAAAGTCATGCAAGCACGATGTAAACAATGGCCATAAGTTAAACCACACAAATTATGCTGACGAGAGTCAAATATCATACATTGGTTTGATAATTAAGAAAGAATTTAACTCATAAGATGAATGTTCGCCCCTTTACCATGTGAGGTACCATATTCCATTTGACACAGATTGCACACTGTACGCGCATGCGACCGTACCCGACTGGCCAAGTCATGCACGCTGTACATAGTGTCCTGGCAGAAAAACTGGGACTGTTAGTAGACCCACACCTCATTCTTCCAACTAAGTGTCAAGCCTTATTGGTTTGACTAAGGCATGGAGGCTACACCATATGTTGTTAGAAGCATGTAGAGTATGTTAGAAACTTCCGAAATGTTCTAAACTATTCAAAAGTCTTGTGGAATGATTTAGAATATTGTAGATAAGAGAGGACTGGTCTAGAGGTTTTTATAGACCAAGTGTAGGTGTATATTTTGTAGAATTCTCTAGAGTTGTGTATAGTTTCTTGACTTGCCTATAAATAGGCTAAACCCTTTCTATTTGTAGTAACCTTTGTACAAGAATTCTTTGTTGCAATATAAGCTTTCCTTTGCCTCCCATACTTTCTTTCTTTGCTTATTTCTTTTACGCTTTCGTATAACTTCTATTTCTTTTACGCTTCCGTACAACTTCCGCACACTTAGTATTTAGGGTGAACTAGCCAACCATTCATAATTCAAGACTTGAACGATTGCTAGTGTCGCTCGTAGTGTTGATTTGTAGGAAAACAAGCAGCCGTGACACATTGATAGTTAAGAAAGAGTCTACTTGAGAAATTTCTAAAATGATGATGAATTTCAAAAAATGTTTGCAAAGAGGGCTTTTTGAGTATAGAATTCCGTCCAAGGGTCTTCGCATTCAGCAAATGCGAACTCTTGAGCTCGCATTTGTTGGATGTGAAGTCACTTTAAATTTCCAGCCCACAAAAAAAAAAAAAAAAAAAAAGAAAAACTGACCTTGCATTTGTCAAATGCGAGGTTTGGCACCTCACGATTCATACAAACAATGCAGATCGATGGTTCATCATTTTTTTTATTGGTTTATTAAAATTTAAAGTCACCCTAAACAAAAGGACTTAGCCTCCAGCTACTTTTCCGGCGATGTTTTGAAGATTTCTGGCGATTTTTTGAAGCTTTCCGATGACAACGTACTTTTTTGGAGACGGAGTGAGTTTTTGCAGCTTTTGGAACCAAATCTGGAACTTCCTCAAATGTTTGAAACGTGATGATGAATGCTATGTTTGTAGCGGTTTGAATCTTGGTATTGGCCTAAAAAACAGGAGTAATTTTGGTGTTCCTAAATTGAAATTGCCTTAGGTTTTTGGGGGCTAAAACCTACTGCTCTGTTTCGAAGATTGGCAGCTTAGTTGGGAAGATGGTCAGCCAAGCTTGCATTTACAAATGCGAGCTTTGTGCACTTCTTTTTCTAAAAAAAAAAAAAAAACAAAAAACCTTTATCATTTTTTTTTTTTCAAAAACATGAACCTCGCCTCTATTAAATGCGAAGCACTTAAACTCGCATTTGACAAATGCAAAGATTTTACTCCTAGAATCAGCCCAAAAAACAACTCATCTTGTAAAACAATTTCTTTTTTTCATAACAATTTAAGAATTTACTCAAGTCTCCTTAGTATAAGGAGATATTTGCCTTTTATCATTTGAGGTGCCTTTAAAGCACAAAACCATGAGGCCATATATCCGTCACATTAATCCACAGACTTTAGCATCAACATCATCATGCGCCCGTAGACAGATTCTAGCATCCAACATTTTCCAAAGATGATAAAGATTTTAAATGCGAGGGACATTTTGTACAATTTTTTTGAAGTAAAAAGAAAAAAGGTAAAATCCTCCCAAACTCGTAAGCATCAAAAAATCAGAGTTGGAACTTCAAACTTTTATCTCTGTTGCAAAATATTGACCTGCAAGTTAGAAAATTTATTCCTCGAATACAGAGTCTTGTGTATCGAATCCAGTCGAAAGAGTAATTAATCTACTTCCGCTGACTGTTCTTGATTAGTAAATTGACCCCATTATTAATTTGCCATTTGATATCAGTGAGGTGAAGAACTTAAATTACAAAAGCATTTAAGATAACTCGTAGCCATCTCAAATGCGCGTCTAAATAGAAACATTGGCCTACTTCCAACTAATTTCTGCATCATTGATTAAATAGATCATTCTTCAGAGTGCTATGACTGCTTTGGAGCTCAAAACCCACATTTCAACCATTTCAAAAAGCCACGTTTCAACCATTTCAACATCCCAAACAAGGAGGTAATTCATGGTCAGTAGGGAATTGATCAAAATGTATACCTGCGAAGATGATCCTCGATCCTGTTTGGATTGCTTTTTTTTTTTTTTTTTGAGGTTTTCATAGAAACTGTAACAATTTGACATATGTGAGATAAAAAGATGATTGAAAAATATGTTCAAGAAAAACGTAAAAATCTTCTGTTAGAAAACTATAATTTAAACATCACAATACGAGGCGGTTTTCAACTAGCCTCTATATAGCCTCTGAAGGTCCGCCAAAGCCTGATTTCGTTGCATCTATGAAGCATTCTTATTAACCTCACTTGCTCCCCTACATCAAATGCAACACCTACTCCAATCTTACCCAAGTAGAATCACTCATCCTGCATTCTGAATGCATTTTATCTAAATTTTATACGAGATTGATGTGTCCGTATCATCCACAAAAAATTTACAACTCCAAATCCGCAGTCGCGGATTGAGTTCAGGAATGCCATATGCATCATTTTACTCTCTATATTGCAATAAATGTCAAACAGTAATAAATGTCTCCAACCCATTGATACTTCAAGCGGTCACCATGACAGTACGTAGAATCGAGAGCTTTTGTAGCTTTCCGTAAATGTACCTGGTAACCAGAAAAATGTTGAAGTCATGACATTGCTTCTGTGAGTTTTTGTCATGTTTTGCCAGCTTCAGTTGTTTCACTTTCTTCAGTTTGACTGCCTAGCTTGACAATATCTTCCACAAGGATTTTTCCTTCTGTTGCAGATACAAACATAGACTTGATGAATATCAAAGTCATGACTAATTCAGGATTCTGACATAATTATGAAGAAATAAAACATAAGAGGCTCTTCTAAGCCATCAAACCCACAGAGGATTGCAGAGAATTGCGGAGGCTCTATGAGCAAAAGAGCTACCAAAGGAAAGGGATGCAGTCTCTCCCTTGGCTTTTTAGACACAAGCAACATTTGAAATGTAAATGCAGCTTTCACAAGACAAGTTTTGTCAGAGTGCTTAACAAGACAAGTTTTAACTCTAGATTCCACTGTGTCTTAAAAGGAGAAGCATCTCCCTCCACCCAGAAAAGGAAAAAGAAAAGGAGATGTATCTCAAGATTTTACAACTCCCAAGTCTTCGTTTTTTGGTCCATTCTCCTTTATCTTATTGAAGTAAGGGCTAATGCAGTTGGGCTAACCAACAAGTTCTTTTCCTTTAAATTTTTCATTTCAGGTGAAGGGTGGAAGGGGGTGTTCAATAATGTTGCCAAGTGAAAATATCAGACAACAAAAATAAGAGAACAATGTTCATAACTGACCTTTGTCTTTGGAAAGTTTATTTATAAGTTCTTCAATACCCTCTTTACCGAAGGTGTCCTTAAGGTACATGGCAGCAGATGCTACTTCCTCGGGTGTGACTTTGCCATCATAGTCCCTGCCCAACACATTCAAAATCTCAAACATCATACACGTGATAGGAATGTTTCCTTGCTACATAAGATTGGTGAATCTTAGAAGAGACTATGATCAAATACTTCCAACGAAAAATGTAGAATACTTAAAAAAAAAAAAAAAAAAACATAAAACCCAAACAAATATTGGATGCATGTACCAGAAGGTCTACTGAGAAGTACTATGCCACAAACTAGCATAGAAACATCAGCTGATCAATCAAGTTCACACACTTACCAAGACAATACCAATTTGTCCAGTCAATTTGGACAGGTAGATGGCTACTATTACTTGTGTCACTTGTGCGGCTCTAAATAAGTTGCACAAATAGATTCATATATGCACCAGAACAAAGCTTAATCATGCAAAAGATTTTAGACACGAATTATAGCCTGTTACCATACCTATCGAGCAAACGCCAACGATCACCGATTGTGGCATCCACAACATCAATTTCTTTTTCAAGCTTTTGAAGCATAGCATC